AATATTCAATTGAGTAGAAATAAATGAAAAGAAATTATGCAATTATCAGATGCAATTAGCAAAAGCTAGTGTGCAATTTCCGATAAATTTGATAACAAATGAGCATCGGGACCTCAAATACTGCGCGCTGAAATCCAGGCGGGGAACATAATCTCATGAATGTAATATTAAACAATCATTTTCGTCATTCAGGCCCGTTAGGTAGCGCCTACTATAGCTGTCTTGAGGGAAGCTAAATGGCNGCGCCGAAGGCTAACTTCACACTCATCGCAAACCTCCGTCTACGGTCCTAATGACACAATATACTATTACATATGCGGATGAATTTTTCGACGGAGAACACTGAGAGAAAAATCTGAAGTTCGAAATCGAACCCAAATGGTGTTCGACTTTTTTTTTTCTTATTGTAAATACAATAAGAAAATAGTTGAGGCGTTTTGGTGAACAATACGATTTTTTTTTGTATGCGGCACATAACATTATAGTAACTTCACAAGCGTAATTTTTGCCAATCAAAATGCAGTTAAACTAACCAAAGTTCAAAAGAAACCACGACAAATCTATCGTGAGGAGAACTATAAAATAGTTGCAATGACTACATTCCATGGTAGTAATTACTTCTCCGGCCATAGTTACCGTAACCCATCAAAAATTGTTGAGGACTTTTTGACTATAATTCAATGGTGATGGAATATAGTCAGAAGAATTATATTTTTCTCTCAGTGAATGATATTTTTTACCAAACGCGGTATGGTAAAATATCACTTTTGTCCATCACACACGGAGAGAAATGTTCAGTAAAATTACGGAACTCACAATTCGCTCACCGTTTACGGAATTGACTCAGAAAATTGAAGTGACGGTATCGTAATTTTTCACAGGAGATTCAGATAAAAATTACGGAACGCTCTGGAAAAATTCCATTTCCTACAACCACATTTCGCTCCGGAATTACGGAAAAGATACGGAATTTCTACGGAAGAGAAATTTTATCCTGACGCATAATAAATTCTACCCTTCCAGTCCCGTAATTTTTATGTAGATAACAACGAAAATTCCAGAACGGTTGGTAAATTTTACTCTACCGATACAATAATTTTTACTCTACCGGCACGGTAATTTTTTTTTTATCAGGATAAAATTTCTCTAAAGTTGAATAAAATTTGACCATCAAATATTAATTTTTACTAAATTTCGGGACAGAAATGAAGAAACGATGACTCATGATACACTTTTATAGAACGGTAGGGTAATTTTTATCATTTCTCTCCGTGTAGCATGGGAGAAGAGGCGCAAAGTGATGGCCAGGAAAAAATTTCAGTGCCAACATTAGAAATTTTATTGGAGAAAACGTGAATTTTTCCCCGTATTTCTGTGAAAATTTCACAGAAATCTCCAGAAATTTTACCAAAAATACCAAGAAATTTTACCTTAACAGCACTAGAATTTTTCACAGCCGGTGGATTGTAATTTTTTCCAGTGTTAGTAGTAGAATTTTTCTAGAAAATTTCTCTCCGTATAAAAAAAAATACCCTACCGCGTGGGAATTTTTACTGGACAGGAAATAGTAATTTTTGCATCTACAGATGTGTTTTTTTTAATCAAACGAATCATAAAATATCTTCCACAAACAGGTATTTTGTCGTTGAATACTTTTTGCTCCACGATTACCTTTCGCACAGTAAAATTTGCCACGATTTTCTAGATAATTTTTATCCAACTTTTCTCTCCGGCACGATGGCTCAGCTGATTCAATTCAATTCAATTTATTTTCTTTAGTGCATGTACTGTTCTACACCTACACTAGCCTGATCACTCAGACTTTACTTCGATATTCCATAAATCAAGCAATCAGTTTCATCCGCGTCCCACTAAATTTCTCATCACTTGCATCCCGGAATCGTCGGATGCATCATTCATTCGACGAGAATTCGTAACATGAATTCGTATCGCATTATCAGGGGCTCTTTTATATTTTGATGGAAACATCGAATAGCTAAATAAAAACCATTTCTATCCCCTAGTACAGTCATTTATAGTGCCTCTACCGCTCAAGTTCCTCCCTCTCGATTATCCAGCGCACACATAAGCTACGTAATTGAATGTTTTCCATAGTCGAGTGCTCTCCAACAGTCGAATGCACGCTATATGCTTCGTTATTCGAGCACGAATTTTCCGAGAGGGCAAACACCCGGAATTTCTGAATTGCCTACTATTTACTAGTGAAATCATTCTCTAGCTGCCATGTTCATTTCACCTTTGATGAATCAGAACTGTATTAATCATAGTTGGTGTGTATTTTATGTATTTTTTCCACTCAATGGATCCTGAATTTTTGAACACACTGTTAAAAATTTTTGACTGAAGCTTTCGGTACACCTCTTGGGAGTTTTTGTCAAGTCACAGTTTCACTGAAATATTGAAGAAATTTTTTGTACTGAAAATTCATAATTTGATTTGATTCATAATTTAATAAAATCAATGGACTCTAAATTTCATTGCAATCACTCTGCGAAAATTAATAGAAATCAAGAACATTGAGGTCAATGTATGATTTATTTTTCAATTCATTAAAAGTTGAGCATGATTGGGTAATAGATTTTCAAGCTGTAATTGAAATTTGAAGTAAATTAGTAAAATTCTGGTCTACTTTTTCCTAAAAAATTTCTAATTCCATTGATTTTTTAATGAAATTTTAAATTTTACGATTTTTTCTCCCAAAATATAATTCGATAAAAAATTGTTCTTCTGGGGAGCGATTTTGCGCTTTTTTCTCCAACGAAAACTTATTACTTTTCTCCCGTTCAGAGGCGCTTTTGAGCCGAAAAATAATCTGTGGATGGGAGTGACGATCACATGAATGACTGAATTAAAATCCCCACCATTTGAGTCTATCATTCGTGTGATCGTCATCCCCATCCAGGGGTCATTTTCCGGTTCAGAAGCGTCACCAAACGGGAGAAAAATAATAAGTTTTAGTTAGAGAAAAATGCGCAAAATCACTCCCCTGAAAATTCTAGCCAGAGAAAGTTTTTATCATGCGACAGTTCCATTGAAATATTGAGTAACTTTTTTAAATTGAAAATTCACAATTTGATGATAAAATCAATGGACTTTAAATTTCACTGCAATTATACCGCGAAAATTAATAGAAATTAGGAAAATTCAGGTCCACATATTATTTAGTATTCAATTAATTAAACATTGAACATGATTGGGTACTCAATTTTCAAGCTTAAATTGAAAGTTGAAGTAAATGAGGAAATTGTGGTCTTCTTGTTCCTCAAAAATTTGTAATTCTATTGATTTTTCAGTGAAATTTGAAATTTTATGAGGTTGTCTGCTAAAATAGAATTGAGGATCGCTCTTCTGGGGAGCGATTTTGCGCTTTTTTTCCAACTAGAACTTATTATTTTTCTCCCGTCTAAAGGCGCTTCTGAGTCGTAAAATGATCCGTGGAGGAGGCGACGATCGCACGAATGGTAGACTAAAATGATGGGAATTTAAATTTATTCATTCATGTGATCGTCACCCCCCTCCGCGGGTCATTTTACGGCTCAGAAGCATCTTCAAACGGGACAAAAATAATAAGTTTGAGATGAAGAAAAACGCGCGAAATCACTCCCCTGAAAATTCCAGCCACAGAAAGTTTCTATCAAGCGACAGTTCCACTGAGATATTGAGGAAATTTCTTTAATTGAAAATTCACAATTTGATGATAAAATCAATCGACTCTAAATTTCACTGCAATTACACCGCGAAAATGAGAAGAAATTAGGAAAATTCAGCTCAACATATTATTTATTTCACAATTAATTAAACATTGAGCATGATTATGCTCAATGTTTATGTTTAGATGGCCAGCTTCTCGGTGCGATAATTACCGGTCATGACGTCAGATATAAAGGGTCATTTCACCGGTCATGTTTGTCACTCACATCCCAAATTTGTATTCAATATGGCGCAATGAATTCCGATCCGGTTCTGCTCAGAAAGATCGGATTCTGACATTTTAATCAGGCAAGCATAACATTTTTAAACCAAAATTGATTGAATCCAATTTTCCCTAATCATTCTCTTATGCTGGCCTGATTTGAGTTTCCACTTACATCTCTCTGAGTAATTACCGTGAAATTCCGAGTTTCCATCGATTTCCGCACTATTTTTTAATTTTGGTTCCATATGTATACCCTCTCGGGTTTTTACATTTTGTTCCCTTCCCTATCTGCGTTACCATGGGTTGACTTACTTTATCCCCAACTGCACCCCATTCGGGATTGGACTGCCAGGGAAACCATGGAAAAACTCAGTCGTGCAGCGGGCCGATAATGCAGGGATTCCACTGTGTCCATTGGTCACACTCTGATTCAATGGACTCAGTGGTTCTCTACAATCGTGCCTAGCGAGTGTAGTCCTATGCGGTTAGGTGTGCCTAAGCGGACACCCATCCAAGTACTGGGCAGATTGAACGCTGCTTAGTTTGGATGACCGCCGGAGCCACACACTCCCTGCATGACCACTACAGCCACTCCCATTTCCTCCCTAAATACCCGATAAAATCAACAAGATATGCGATGTTTCAATGACAACATTACCTGGAAGTTCAATGAGAAATGTCACGCGTTAAAAATTTCCAGAATATGACTTGAAAAATCCACACGAAAATCCCTAGTCACGTAGTTGACCGCTAAAGCCAAAATGAATCCCTCCCTCAACCCCTTCCCGTCCCTCCTGAAAAAAGTGACATTCACGAGTAATCTCATAACCGTTCGAATGATTCATTCCCGGTCCATGTAATGAGGCCGATTGCCAGAACCAAACAGCTTCCCTCTCGCCCCATTCCATCCCCAAAACCATGTGATACATTAATCCTCGAAAATCGATTCATAACCACCGCAGACGCATCTGACTGAGAATTCCCGCACACCTCCTCCCCCAGCCGACGTAATCCTAAACTCCTATGTCCACAATAGTAATAAATAAATGTTGAATAAACTCACGTCACTCTCCATTTTGTCATGAAATCTGAGCCAATGCTGAAAACAGGTGTTGTCGTGCGATTCGCCTCAGTGACATTGAGACCAGTATTATCCGTCCCGTTGTTAGTCTCCATCCCCCGGTTTTCTCCCCGCCCACCACGTCCAACTTTCAGATCTCCTCTATTTTGTTTTTAACTGTGGCCGGTGACCTCACCCCCCTCACTCCGCCCCTCGCTGTCCTTCAGTCATCTCGGAGACATTCTGAAAGTAATCATGAAATGAGAAAATGGTTTTTCATTAAACAAAATAGTCATTAACCCTTAAGTGGTTGCATAATGAGGGAATCCCCGCCGTTTTTAATTTTTTTCTTTTCACGCAAAAACTTGGTGAATGAAAAATCCATGAAAATTTGTACTCTTACTTTCAAATATATAGAACACATCAATATCTTTTATGGCACGCCGTGCAATATGTCGAGTTTATCGCACGTTGCGCCTCGCGCAGCGTGCTTCGAACTCAACTTCTGCACGATGTGGCATAAAAAACAATAATTACCTAATAAATTAGGGTTTTTCACCTGCTTTTCCGCAATTCTCACCTCAAACCTCATGATTTCACCCAATACGGAGAGAAATTTTTTAGAGAAATTCTAGTACGAGTACTTGAAAATATCACAATCCACCGGCTGCGAAAAATCCCGAGTCGAATAATTGGACCTGACAAGTTCTACTTAGGTCTTTCCGTTCAGAACTGGATAGGTCGTGGGAAGCCTCTTCCCAAGTGCTTCCGAGACCTTTCTACCTCTGGTTACGTCCCATTTCAGCACTTATTGTTAGGTGTAAGCAGGACTTGTATTCAGACTTTCAAAATCCTTGCCGGTCCCCGTAATTCTATGGGCCTATATTAAATCTGCGTTCATATCCCTGTTTACTCATGCGTTATTGAAATAAAAAATGCAATTATTGTTTTTTTTTAATCTCGAAAATCGACATTTCACGAGAGGCTGGAGCCCCACGTACGAAATGCCAGTGTTGGAGAAACGGGCCAAGCCTGGCACAAGCCTGGGCTTGCCAAGTCTGGGCGCCCAGGCTTGGACCGAGGTTCGGCCATCCCTGGGGACCAGGGCTTGAGTCTCGGGAGAAGGGCGGGTAACCGAGCCTTGGTTGACAGATCTGGCCCAGCCTTGGCCGGACATTGGCATGCCGGAGCTCGATAACCAAGCCTCAGCCAGCGGTGGCCCGGAGCTTGGTCATTGGGCTCCAGCCGTTGGTGTAACTGTAAGGGTTAAGTCGTAAGGGTGAGATGATGAGAATGGAATCATAGGGGTGGAATCATAAGGGTAAAATCTAAAGAGTAAAATTGTAAGGGTCAAATCGCAATAATGGAAAGGGGCGAAAAAATCATAAGATTGACATTCTGAGCTTGAATGGTAAGGGTTGGAAACTTGAGGGTAAAATATCAAGGGTGCAATCGTAAAAAAATGGTGACATTGTAGGTGTTGAAGTCACATGTTACTCGCTAATTATTACGAAAAGAAGAAGAATCGTCATTCAACAGTAATCCTAATTGTTACAATTATTATTGTAATTAATAATAATAATAATTATTATTCATTATTGAATTAATTTACCGATTAAACTGTAGTTGAATCACTTAATATTTCTATCAACTGAATAATAAAACATTCAAGTCGAAAAAAACCGAGATGGAATTAATATGGAAGATTTGAAGTAGAGGTTTTACGAATTGCGCGGTAGACTAGTGGTTAGGGCGTCGGATTAGTAGTCGTGAGGTCGTGGGTTCGAGCCCACGTTAGGGGGTAATATTTTAAGTTACAAAATCGGTTTTTCAGCGATGATTGCGTTAGGGTTTGGTAGGTAGGGCACAATGAATACTAAAAATCATCCTAAAAAATGTTAATTATTTTGTTTTTGTGATTATTGATAATTGCCATGAACAGTTTGGCAGCCAGTGCGGCACCAGTCGCATGCCGGTATTGATTTTTTTTCCTCGTTGAACCTATTACGAATGCTGAGGAGTAATATTAAATTACTTGTATTTCAATCACCCATATTATCATATTCATGTAATTAAGTAATGTTTAATTGAGCCTGGCCAACGACTGGCAATCAACGCTGGGCCGAGATGGGCGCCCAGACCTGGCCCGATGTTATCATTCCAGGTTTCAACCAAGTCCGGCGCGGTCCCGGTTGAGGAACGGGTCCCGAAGTTCGGCAGGCCGGCCACCGGGCTTGGGTCAAGCTTGGCCCATTCGCTTTTTCGTACGTGGGATATAGGGGAGATGCATGTATGTAGAGGCTTGAAATTTTTACCCAACAAGGGGAGAAGGTAGGAGAATCTATTCTAGCCACTCTTGTCCCTACGCTTGCATGCATTATCCAAATAAAAAATGAAAGTGTTAACAAATCTGACCATTGTTCCAAGTA